AGGGGAGGCATACAGCGTCTTAGCAGCATGGAAAACAGAATTCAAGAGTGTGATGATGGAAAGCTAAATGATCATTCAGGAGCACTTTAAATGTTATCCACTTTACTTATTCGTCTAACTTCTGGCAATGGACCTTGCACCCCGTAGGATATGTTTCCGAGAAACGTCACATCGAGGAGAAGGTTTCCCAAATATTTAATTCAGTTGAGATTCGTTATATGAAGGTAAAGGTCAGTCAACGCCTTTGAGCTCCCTATTGTTGACAGAGTGACTAAGAAATGCATCGATAGAGAAGCAAGTTTTAAAAAGAGGTCATTTTTATAATTGAAGACGAAAAGCGAAGAGCCGCCGGTTAGTCTAAAAGTTTAAACATACACGAATACTATAATAATTGTATGAATAATTGCTCGGTTGCGCAGGTTAGTGGGTAACTGCTGAATGAGATATTTGATGTATGCCTAGCTTGTTTTCAAATGAATTTACACAGGCGGAGAGAATCAAATTTTCGGGCAGAGCGTTCCACACTGCAACCACTCTCTAACTGATGAAAAACTTGTTTCCATCGATCCTTTCTTTGCCAATAAAAGTGAACATGAGTCCCAGGAAGTAACTGAGAACAAGATGTGATCGCTGGAACAAGGATTTTATGCGCTTTACGTTCCGAAATCAGCCGCGGCTCCTTCCTCGGAGACATAAGTAGAAACAGTAGCGGAAACGGGTAATCCATGCAAAGGGAGTGGAATTATTCATGGAATATTCATCAGGATACCGCACACTTATGACAATTAACGACTCCTCTCTCGAGGGTAATTGCCCGCTTGTGCGCTAATGACTTGGTGACCGGCGTGCGGACCGTGACCTGCTGAACTTTTATCCCAGGAGGTGGAATTCGATGTGATGATGGGCAAAAAAATCGCACCGACCCCAAATTTTGGCGAGCAATCCAGTACGTCGAAAGCATCTCGGATGCCGTCGGCCGCCTTCTCGCACAACTTGGAGTCGCACATAGGCCGGAAGCA